TTCTCTGGTGCTCTTTGTTTCTGGTGCACTCATGCTTAGAGTGTTTCCCCAGCATGGGGTTACCCATAAGAGCTGTTTAACCCCGATTTTTCTCCTCAAGAAGCCACTTCCCAAATCTAGTCATTGCTGCTTGCTCCTGTACCTTGTACAGCTTGATTACACTCTTTTAGAAAAAGAATGACCAAATATACTCTACTTGCAACATTCAAAAGATGGACACATCAAGAATTTTATTTTTTTTTTTCTGTTTAGTCTAGATTTAATTTTTTTTTCCTTTAAACACTAACACACTAATAGAATTTGTTCAGAAATGTTCCCCTGGTGAGTCTCAGGATGCAAGCAAAGCAAGGTTTTTACAGTAACATACTATCCACTAGGAAACAATGCAATCATGTAGTTAGACAAGCTCCTGGGTGCATGACCTAGAAACACCCGACGTGTATAAAGGAGGGTTGCCAAAGCAAACAAACAAACAAAAAATTCCTATTTCTCCATTGGTATACCAGCGGCAAGCAGCTGTTCAGTCAGAGAAGCAGCCAGAGCAGGCCAGCCACTGGGGCCAATTCCAGGGAAAAACTGCAGCTTGGCAAAGCCTGACACCAGGCACAGGAAAAGGGGGTCAAAGCAGAGGTCTGAGGAGAGCATGGCAATGGCAGCTGTTTCAGCTTTACCTGTCCTGAGTAAATATACACACTGTGAAACATTTTTTTGTCTCTTGTACTCATACACAGATGAGAGAGACACTGAAGCTCAATGCATATTGACAATAAGAACACTGTGACTACTGAAAATGTATTCAGAAACTAAATCCTCTGTAATTTAAGGGAAGATTAAAGTCCACTCTCATTAAACAAATGAAGCTGTAGAATAGACAGTCTGATGGTTTACAAAGTTTAGAAAATGTTACCATGCTAAGGAAAACCTGTGGAGCAGATAATTCCATGCAAGAGGAACTAGAGTTAGCTAGAGGGAGAGCTAAAGAATACACCAGAATCAGGCCAGACAATATCCCCCAAGACAGTAAGTGTAAATTTGAACTTTCAAAACTGAAGTTGACAGTGCACTGGCCTTTGCTTTGCAGGAGCAATCTGTCAGGAAAAATAGGCTGGGTGATTCAATTGCAGAATCAGAGAAACAGAGAGAACGAAAATACCTGAAGGGCAGCACTTGAAGAAGTGACAATCTGGGATAGTTTGTCCTTATCTTATTATGTTTTTTTCCTTCAGTCAGATATATGGAAAGCTGCACATGCTGTACAACCAAAAATGGCCTGAATTAAATAATCGTGTAGCCAGTGGCAACAATTCAGCAGTGCCCACATTACAGCAGATAACATCATTGCACACCTGTGGGCCTGCACCAAGCTGTCATCTGCAGATGCCATGGCTTCCTGAGGAATTAAGGACTCTGGCTCACAGAACACAAGATGCCAGCACATGAAAATAAGCACACAGCTCTCGGCAGTTGGGATGATGGGGAGAAGCAGGTCACCAGCACATGAAGTCATCGTGCTCTGTACTCTGACCACGCTTTACCGAATGGGTGGCATTTCCCAAACCTCGGTGGAGACATTGCAGATAGGTTTTCTCATAGGTTATGACCTATTAGAATCTGAATCTTGAATAAAAAGCATTACTGTGATTTGTTGGATGGAAGGCAATTAGGGCTGTGGAAAGCAAGGAAGATTAATCAAGTAAATGCAGCAGAGGACTATTGTCACAACTGCAGCTTTTCTCCTTCAAATAATAACTCTTGGTAAACACTGCATTCTGAAGAAACACATTCTCAACTTAGTGTCTTTGATGACAAATACAATAAAATTATATATATTCAGAATCAAAAAAATGCCTGTATTTAGGTGTTATGATCTTTATTATATTGTAAATTTTTTGTTGCATTTGCTCTTTTATACTATAATTTAAAAATTGTACATAGTCATATTTGTCTAGTTCATGTCAATATGGCAGGACACAGAAATTAATACTTCAGACAAAACATATCCAGGAAAAACAGGAAATATTTAATATAATTCTATTTTTTAAAGTATTATTTAATCTGGGTTAGCTGTATTATCTTGTTCTACTAGGTTCAAATTTAAACTAAGAATTATTTAAGAGAATAGCTTACACAGTGAGAAAGAGATTAAAGAGCTTGTGTTACTAGAAGAGGTGAAATTTAACCTAAAACACAAAAATCACAGGTGATGGGAGGAGGACAGAGGAAGCACACTGTAGAAGGTGGTGGAAAAAAAACCAACCAAAAAACCAGAAAGGTTCTAAAGAATAAATAACAGTTGCTCAAAAAGACTGAGAATGAAAAGAATGAGAATAAGTTGACAGAACTGGCATGAAAAGATACCAGAAAGAAGTGAGAAGATTGTCAATCCTCAGCCTTTCCTGTAGAAAGCTTGGGAAAACTGAAGGAACGGGAAGGAATAGGAAACAGCCAACAGCCTTAAGGCACTAACCCAGCCAGAGCTGACCCTCAGCACTGCACCTGGGGCTGCCCACACGCCTCCTGCTGCACCCCGACCAACCTTGGCAAACAAAAGATTGCTAAAAATCAATTTAGGTCTGCTTAACCTACTTGATACAAAAAGCAGTAAGGACTTCTGAATTGCCTCAAGTAATATTCATTGCTTTAGAGCTATTTTTATCACAGCTTCACATTTAAAGAGACACTTTTGCATTTGATAACAGAGGAAGTCATCACTTAGGTTGTTAATAAATGCTCGTTAACACTATGCCCCACAGCCAACATAAACACTTTCTTTTTCTGTGGAGTCTTCTACAGAACCACTGAAGACAGCAACCTCATAATCCACATAATTGCATCAAGCTCCAATTTAAAATTTAAATTTTCTGCTCAAGCTACTTCAGCCAGGATTCTGTTCCAAACATCGCTCTGGTGAATTTCAGCATGCAACTATTCACACAATATTTATAAAAAATCATTCTTGTAGCTATATTTTCTTTGAGATTAAGCCACTCTATTCCTTCTTTCTCATGTTAACAAGGGGCAGTCAGTTCCTTCCCTCCCTTTACTTGACCACACAAGCAATGCTGCTGTTACCTCCTCCTACAAGAAGCACCTCAGCTGTGCTGACATCCCTTCTCATGTCCATCCCTTTTTCAGAGTCTCTTCCAGCAAGACACTCATCTCTGTTTTTGTCCCTCCTTTCTCCAAAACCATCAGTGCTTAGACATCAAGGTTAAAAACCTCTTAGATATTTGTTCAACTTTTAAGTAACAGACACATGACAGATCTCAGCAGAAAACTTCCAAAAACATGACAGAAGACAAGTATTAGTAACTAGCATTATTTACAACAAATTCTGATAAGAAACAAACAACTACAGAGCAGCAAAATAAAAACTGCCTCCCACTGAAGGAGTTTCAATGGAAACCCCACAAACCTAGGGAAAAAATCCTGGCTTGACTGAAACCAAGAGAAATTAAAAGAAAAAGACCCGCCCACATATACAACTAGAATATTCAAGCTGCCTCAAATAAATTGTCTGGAAATACTGTAATTCACATCAGCCAGAACTTTGCTTCTTTTACATGCTGATGTTACCCATCTTGAAAAAAATAATTCTACAGATGAAGCATATTTCTTCTTACATAAATTTATGTCTGTCTTTAATGGTGTGATATTAATTGATTTCACACTAAAGCAGGTTGGTAGCGGCAACAATGGTGATGAAAGGAAGGCAAAAAGAGAAATAAAACCGGCAAGAATGAACTGGAAGCAAGGAATAAGAAATTTCATGACATCTCACCTTTAAAAGTGTATGCATGTCTCAAAAACCCAAATTAGAAAAAACTCCTCCTACATAAGGGCTGCCACATTCTAAGTAATCAAATTGGCCCCTTGAAATTTCATACACTCATCTGTAATAGACTTGCTTCCAAGGCAAGAGAAGGGACATCTGTAGAAGCCACTCAATCAAAGCTATCTTAAGTTTTTTCCTAAAATCTGTTGTTTTGGATGGGCAGGGGACAAATCTATCCTTCAATAAAGGGTAAATTGAATCAAATAATTTGCCCTCAGGAGAGCTGAATAGAACAAATGGACAGAATAAGAAAGCTGGTCAGGCAAAAATAAAAGTGTCAGGGAGAATGGTATCATGTATTTACAAAGGAGTTGCCTTTGGATAGACAGAGAAGGACGAGCTCCCCTCGCTTTCCTACTCCTTGCTACTTTTTCTGGCTGTCAGAAGGGATTCTGTAGTTAAGTTTCAGTGTAAGAGGATTGCTGCAGACCTTTCCTCCACACTGCCTTGAAGATTCATCTCTGAATGGAAAGCACCTGGTCGGATCAGACGACCACTGTGGTTCCTTCCAAATTCTGTTGTGTGAATCTGTATTTCCAACTGCCAGCTTGATAAAACTCAAGTTCATTTATTCAGAGCAATGATGACATCCAGTGGCCACCAAGTTAATCTCAGCCTATGACAGCAAAACAAGTCTTATCTGAATAGATAATCTTTCCATAAAGGTGTGTGTTAACTCTGCTTTACTATCACTTAATCTAAAAACAGGACAAATAAGGATTGCACTAAAAGGTACACTATAATCACCAAGCAAGAGTCTTCCTGTTCAGGTTCCCATAATAACTCTAACCAAGCCTTTTTTGGTTCTATCTCACATTGAAAAATTAGAGATCAAAAATATAAAAACTCTTAAGCATTCCCATGGTGTCCAAAGAAACAGGAAACCAGAAAAAATAGATGTACATCAAGGAAAGGGGAGAAGGAGATCTGCATAAGGCAGTCCACAAAGCACTCAAGCTGTTGAAATTGCCAGCCACATCTACCAAACTAAGTCATGTTTTTAGTACATGCTTCTAGAAGGCATGGAGGAAATTACTTTTCAAAGTGCTTCAAAAAAGAAATATTTCTGTTTTCCACTTTTGCAAAGAATCTAATCAAAACATGAAAATATGACACTTATAGCATGCTTGTGTTCTTTGATAGAGAAGGTCTCTTAAATACTTACTTGCCCAAATATTTCTGGAAGCCCCAAAACTTGACCAGTGAAAACACCAATACAAATGAAAATTGCTGTGACCTGACCCAATGAACCACGGATTTCCTTAGGAGATATTTCACTCAAATACATGGGGAGAGCACTTAAGGAAATGCCTACAAAGGAAGAACAAAACCCATATATTAAGTCAAAACATTTTTATTATGCCTGGTATGCAACAAATTTCTATTGAAAGGTGCCTGAGTGATAATCTGCTCACAAGAGTGGCATAAAAACATGCAAGGAACAGAATTATATCTATCCACACATAACATGAATTATTTTCCTTGTATGTCTAATTACTCTCACACCATTTATTATCTGTGGGACTGATTATCTGTTACAGATCTACAGCGATGTGCATAGGCTGCTTTTTGATGTGGAGCACCGAAGGTTACTCAGAGATGAGAATCTCCAGGAGAATAGATTTTATGTTTTAAATTTGCTCATCCCAAAGCAAGCAAAATCATGTTAAGACTGTTGTGGGTAAGGGAAAAAAGCCCAATGCATCAGTCAGACAGAGCAGACATTGTCAGATGAAGTATTTTTACTGTAAACAGTATTAGCAGATGTTCCTCTCAAAACAGGCTTATAGCTGCAATGAACTCTTCACAATAGGCATAAAATAAGAATTGGAATGCTGCTTAAAGCCAGGAGCAGAACAAACAAATGCATGAGCTTGGTCTGTGCAATGACAACATTTGCACAGCTCCAGAAATTTGGTTTCTTGATGGTAATCTGAGACAAAGATTAGCAGAAACCCTTCCTTCTAGCTGCAAGATTATTCTGGAGCTGCAGTGCCTCCATGGTTTTTTTTCAGACTGGGAAGACCATAGGAACAATTGATGAGGTGTCAAACCTTCCCTAGTCCTGCAGGTGCATTAGCATGGGATCCAACAACTTGTAAACACAGCAAAAAGCAGTGTTCATAAACAGAATACTCTCCTAGTCAAGGGATTTTCATGGCATGGAAACAAATGCACTCTACCATGGCAGGAAGAGGAAAGGTGGGGAAACAGCCGTGGTGAGCATCCATTCCAGTGTCTCCTCCAAGCAGATCCACCAGCTCTTCATGTGCCATTTTGTCCCAGTGACATCTACAGTGTGGCTACAGCTAGTCCCTGAAATACCTCTTTGATGTCAAGCAAATTCTAGCTGGGGAAGAGGAGAAAGTGTGTGCATGGCACAAGCATTTCAGTCATGTAGAGTGTGACCAAAGCTTACCTGCATCAACACCCATGATAATGCGGCCCAGTATGAGCATTTCAAACGACCCTGCCAGCAAGGACAGGGACATCAACAAGGCAGCTGCCACTGCAAACACGTTATTGAGCACCAACGTGCATTTCCTAAAAGGCAAAGATGGCTTAGGTAGAAACCAGTGTCATGGCAGTTAAATCTAGTTATATTAGAAGCACACTAAGCTCTTAAATATCTATAAATAAAAAGTGCCTAACAAATGCTGTCTCTTAGATGAGTAGACTTCTGAAAAACAGCACTATACCCATGTGGATACAGTGTCAAACCTATACCACAGTTTAAAAGAAAACATAATGTAAATAACTGAAGAGCTGTACTTCAAAAGCCAACTTATGTATCCTAAAAACACGAGTGCCAGGCCTGAGGCTCTGTACATGCATATAATAATTCATCTGTAAATACTTGATATTAAAACCATACACTGAGGAAAATTACTTCCTACTTGTAAAGTTAGGAAAAAATATTTGAGCTCATTGAAGCAATAAAAATCAACCCTTTTCTAAAAATTATTGTAATTAACCAAAATACAGATTTACATATTTCTTCCCCCCTTTTAAAATTATTTCATTCTATAACAGATAAGTTAAATAAAACATTAAATTGAAAATTTAAGTAAAACATTAGGGTTTTTTTCAAATAAAATAAATGCTCTTTATGGCAAATTATTACTTTGTTAAAAAGGATTAACAAAATCATGACAATATATTTAAAAATTTTCAAAACATCTAAGTTTCTCATTTGCCAACAGCTTAATTCCTTTTAGTCTTCATTTTTCAGAACTTTCCATTCAAGTTTGAGGGATTAATTGAAAAGGAGTGACTAGGAAGGCTGTCTACCCCTTTTCTTTCTAGAGCAGGTGAAAAACTGTCTCACCAGTTCTAATTTTTTTCAACATGTTATTACTTATAATATATGTACTTATATTATATATCAATAGTATATATTAATTTTAATATTTTAATAATTAATAATGGTTATAACATAATATTTTAGTATTTGATTAATGTATTAATAGTATATATTAATATATAAGTATATTATATTAATATATAAGTACATACATTATATTATAATATATATATTTATATTATAAGTTGTAATCAACTTATTACACCCATTGAAAAATTTAGCCAGTTTCTCACTACAGAGGCATACCTTTTTGAAAGGAAATACTTTTCGCACTTGTATTTTTAATTATTCCTCCTCCTTTCTAGTGAGTTTTGAACACTGAATTAATAACATGGCTTGAAGATTGAAAAATGGGACACAATTCATTTAAAGTCTATACAACATAACTGTCAGAGTGATGACTGCACTATTTGGAACAGATTTTTCAGATGGATATATACTCTGAGATGGCTGAAGTGATACAAATAATGACAAAAATGGAAAAAATGCTTATTCAGGTCAAATAAGTTTTATACATTCATCTGAAGATATTGCTTTGTTCTCCTTTAATTTAAACAAAAACTGTAAAATACATATATTTTGAGAAAAAGTTGGCCAGTAAACTCTTATACTATGCAGCTGAGAAAAGCACAGCCTAACTAAACATGCTAAGAACAAAGACTTTGGCAGGCTGAAAAGGAAGAAAAACAAGAAATCACTCTATTTAGAGTGTTACTATGGAAAGCTGTGTCTATGGCAAGGCTTTGGAAGTGTTGGGGCTGCGGGGGTGGCTTCTGTGGGAGCGAGTGTGTAGCAAGGTCAGTGGAAGAGAAGGTGATCCAGAACTGAGCCAGGACATCCCCAGAGGGACTGTGGTTCATGGGGATCCATTCTGGAGCACAGGAGGAGTGAGGAGCAAGGAATGGCACAGGGAAGTTGCTGCACACTGACCCTGACCCCTGGCACTGTCCGTTCTCTCACTGAAGGCACTGAGTGTGACCATTACCTGTGGTACCAAGAAGGAGGGGAGCCTGTTGTGATGCTCAGCCTAATATGTCTCCCTAAAAGTGACCCGAACAATTCCTTGAGCATATTGGTCTGGGTGCTCAGGATAAACAACAGCAGACCCTCTTCATTAGAAGAGGAGAATTTAAATTACCAAGTGTCAAAGCCACATCTGAACATGGGAATTATGTTTATGTGGATGAAGGTTCCCTTACAAAAAATTACTCTACATGTCTCTTGAAGTAAATAGGGCCTATGAATCCAGTAATTTGGAATTTATGTTTTTAACCTTACAGCAATATGATTCAAAAGTGTTCTTTTAAAGTCATACATTATTTCTGACTAGTGCTTTTAATCCCCTTTAGCTCATTATTCTGTGTCAGTGTAAATGGAGCTCAGCTTCATCATACCTACAGCCCTCCAACCTACACTTGAGCAATTTAACAGCAAAGTATTTTATTGTTCTGTCAACATTTCACTGTGTGCTCCTCAATTACCATAATGATGTGTCAGTCTGGGCTCCTAGACCAGACACACACTGCAGTGTGAACAGCAAACTCAAGAACCAGTCTCTGGTGAGCAGCCTTTCTTCACACAGCCCCTTCCCATCTCTGCTCCAGAACTCATCCACTGTATCTGTAACAGAGCTGTTCTCATGGCTTAATGGAGACAAACATAACCAACAGGGGCAGAGCCTGCAAGTGTAAAGGCCTGCCCTGGAAATGTGACCAGCACAGGTAGAAGTGGTGTATCTGTGACAGATCAGCCACCATTTTTAAACCTGCACAAAAGGTTTAAAATTGAAATTTCAATTTTCACTGAAAATTCTAGCCTTCTGTGCCATTTTTACTTCATTTATTTCAATAAAGACTCAGCAATATTCTGACAATTAATCAGTCTGAGTCAGGCACAGTTTAATATTTCTAACAAGTATATTAAAGCCAAATATGTGATTTGGCAGACGAAATTGAAAACCTAAAAAAAATACATAATGTAACTATGGAAAATACTTTAAAATTGAAAATCAAGTGCTGAAGTGACAAAATAAATTCATTTTTTTGTAAAACAGCTAAGAATACTGACTTGCTGTAAGCATGAAATGGAAAAACCTGAAAATACCCTCTTTGAGATGAAAAATGACATATGGACAAGTTGGGAGAAGGAGAAAGAGACCTAAGAAAGTACAATCTTATGGAAATCATCAAAATGTAAAACAGGAATGTAAGAACACTGGAGGTTTATACTTATATTTAAGCCTCCATGATGATGTTCTCCTGTGATTTAACTGACCAAAAGATATCAAATAATATTGAATTTACAATTAAAAAAAATCCAAATGAGCGGTTATGATGAATGCTACAATGGAGGGGTTTTTTTCCACACCCTTCTAAATATAGATAAATAGTAAATGAAGTTTAAAATTCTATTTAAAAGACTGTATGACACAAAAATTGGACAGAAATAGTATCTGCAGCAAAAATGCAAGCACACACCAACACAAGCACTCCTAAAATATGTATATTCTCTATGGTCAAGACTTGGTCAAATGCTGCACTGTACAGAATGGATGGTGTACCCCTTCTTGGGGATGGCCATACATGAACTTCATCCTAGGCCAGTTCTTCAAACTGTATTTTAAGTTTACACAAAGACTGAAAAAAAATCTGAAGTATTGAATTGAATTTGAAAGATATAAATTGAAGTAAATTTTTATTAGCACATGACAGAAAATGCTGTTGCGAAGCAAATAAGATATGTTGATATCTTTCTTTATTTACAGTTAGATACTCAGTAGACTCATGAAAAAAGATTCTGTCAGTCCTTTGTGAAATCATTTCTATTTTAGGGTATTTTCCTTTGGCACACATGACAAGTCACACTCCTTGACATCTCAACACACTGCTCGTTCAGGATAAATGGCTTCTGTGACTCAAATGATGCACAGTAAGTTTTCAGAATAAATGGCTTCTGTGACTCAAATGATGCACAGTAAGTTTTCAGAATTGAAAGATTTTTTTTTTTTAAATTATTTTTTATTTAATAAAAGTAAAACTTTCTAGAGAGACTAAGAAGGAAACTACTTTAGAAAATGCAAGTTTTCCAGAACACCTACCTTCCAAAGAACTTCACAATTGGAGTAACAATAACAAAGAACTTCACAATTGGAGTAACAATAATGGCACCCACAAGGCCACCGATGGCAAAAATAGAAACAGTTATGGACCAGAGAAGCGTCAGCGTGCCTTCATCCACTGAGAAGCCATACCTCCTCTCCCAGGTTTCATTGTAAAACTTCTTGATATACTGTAAGAAAATACATAATAAAAATATGTGAAAAAAAATCACATTTTGGGAATACAGCTGAGCGAAACAGAAAGAGTTAAAAACCCAGAAAACCCAAAGTAGCTTTCTTGCAGGAATCACTCTTGCTCTTCTGTCTCTCTCCTCCAAAATAATGGGGCCTCATTTATAGATACAACTGCAATAAAACTAACTGAATCAGTCCTAGCATATATACATGTAACTACTAGGCAGTAGCAAAGCAGATGGAGGAAAAAGCCCCACTGGTAGACAAGAATGTCCAGGACAAGAACACTCTTTAGCCTTTAATGTGCCAAAGTTTACACTCTTCCTCTGCTTTCCTCACATGAGGACAACTACAGGTTTTTGAAAGATGCCTTCTAACAACTTCCCTTCCCCAATATTTAATTAGACTAAGTTATTCATCTTTTTAAAAGGTAAAGATGTCATAGCTCCAGGACAACACTTTAACATAGCCTCTGTATTGCCTGCAGAGACATCACCTATTTATTGACTAAATATTCTATTTAGTCAAGCTTCCTTGTTTTTATGCTGCTCCCATTTCAGCACTGAGGAAGTGCCACTGTGGTGCCTGATGCTCTGGCGAGGATACAGTTCCAGGAAACTGCAGCCATCACAGCAGAAGGGCACAACACACTTAGGAAAAGCTCTCAAGCTCTACAATATCAAAAGTTTAATCTTGGAACTTCTTCCCAGTTTCTTCTCCAATTTTCTTCACAATGTAACAGCTCCTAAATGATCCTGGGACAGGACGCAGCATAATAAGCCACTACTTTTTCCTTGTTCAAACTAGGAACTTCAAACTTCATCTAAAATCTGGCCTTGAACACATGAAATATTCTATTTGAGGGCCTTTAGTTTGAATTATCATCTCTCCACCTACAAAATACCTAGGAAAAGTGAAGGTAGAATATACAATCTTCTGTCTTCCATCTATCAAATTTCTAGTAAACTTCTCATGCCCTTAATTTAAAGGAGAACTGGGTTATTTCTCCCATCCTATCTTAAATGTTTCTAAATAGACAGGGAATAAAAATTTAAAAAAAACAAGTCCATTTGGGGCTTGAATAATTTAGAAGTCTCACAGTAAGATTCCGGATGAATCTGCCATTAAATCAAGAAAAAGCATCTTAGTTCTTTAACACCAATACTCAGATTATATTTAGATTCAGACATCTTCTTGTCTATTTGAAATTAATTTCTGATAGTAATGAATACTAAGAGAAAACACTTTTAGAACATTATTAGCATTTCTTGTTAATGATAATGGCTAAAAATAGGTAGGCAAATTACTCTCCCCTTGTGTTATGACTAATTTTCTCAGCATAGCTTAGTTATTTACAAGGAGGCATCAAATAACTGCAAATGTTCAAGAAAATAAAGTACAAACTAAATCATTCACTAGTAACAGATAGATGGATGTTCTGACATGTACTAGCACCTCTCTCTGATCTCCCATTGCCAAGAAACAGAAGGCTAATAAAACACAGAGATTTTCAGGAGATGCACATGAAACAAAACAAACCTGGTAGAATAAATCCACTGAATTTGAATCCATTGAATTTTGTGTAAAAGCTCCTTTGGGATTTTGATCAGGTGTCTCAATAACACTAAAGGCATGAACCTATATAAAAAAATTTTAGGCCCTAAACAAAGCCTACAAAAAATGGTGGCTGATATCAGTATCTTATTTTCTCAACTGCCTCAGTTCATGATGATAGTGGTGCTGGGATGAGAACGAGAAGAGGAATATAAGGAATATAGAATGTTTTATATGTACGAATCTAATGGATATATTTTAAAAACCAGATAAATATTTTCCTTGTCTTACCCATAGTTACAGAGGTCATTCACACAGTGACAACTACTGAACCAGCTGTCACAGCAGGCTGTATGTTTGTGCCATAGGAACTCAGAGCTGCAGCCTCCTGCAGGAAGAGGGCAAGGGCTACAAAGCAGAAAGTTAGCAGGGACTTTGCTTCCTGCACAGAGCACAAAGCACATCATTGTTTCACAGGCACTGCCCACAATCAGTCCATGAAATGAACTGTAGAAATGCAGCTCAGAAAAAGACAGCTTCATCTTGTATTCAATTAAATCTTTTGTCTTACTACTGCCAAATGCTCTCATATGTTTTTAATAAATTCTGGTAACTCTTTGAACAAGCCCATGGAAACTTGTAATTCTGGGTTTCTCAGGGAATCATACCTGTAATGGGCCATGCTCTTTCCCACAGAACTACAGGGAACTGAGTGGGAAGCAATCTCAGCTGTGAACAGAGTATGTGAAGCTTATTTCCCCCTTGAAACAATCAGGAACTTAGACTAACTCTGCCTCATGAGATGACCTGAAGTAAAGCCCACCAGTGAGAACTATAGGAGAATTCCCCTGTGGTTTGATGAGCTGACACTCATCAAATTTGTGACACAAATTGTGGCACTGAAAGAAAACGGACACAAGAATTTACAAATAGCTCTTCAACACTTCAGTCTTAAATTAACTTCTTTCATTCCATCAGCTCCTGTTGACATCCTGCTATGCTCTCAGTTTGAGGATCCTGGAAACATTCTGGGTTTTAGTTAACTGCCATTATCAAGCCTTTTTTCACTGCTTCTCAAAGGAGCATACAACCCTTCTGTAAGGCTGGATGACTTCAGCATCAAGAGGAATTGTACTGAAGTAAGAAGGGGCAGAAGATACCCAGTATCCTATGGAGAGAAGGCAAATCTTACGATGTCAGCTGTAAGCTGCATGTCACCACAAGAAGTTATTTGTCCTACCAGGTTTATAAATGAAACTCTGCTTACAACTTGTAGGAATTACTGCACTCCCAGTATAACCTCTTACAAAGCTGCTTTTATCTACAGCTACAAGATGCTCTGCTTTGGTGTTTCTCAGTCACATCAGTACTCCCAAAGGGTCACCTTGCAGCAGACTGATTTCTTAACACACAGGAGAAGACAGATGGGGAAAAGGTTCCTTTTCTTGTGCTGCAAGAAGCACAGCTTTGATATGGCTCACTGCTCCCCACCATGGCTGTGACCTCAGCCTATGCTCTTCCCCTCAACCCAGTCACTGCAGCCCCAGGGACAGGGACAGGGACAGGGACAGGGACAGGGACAGGGACAGGAAGGTGGTCTGTCTCAGGCAAATGAATGACACACATTAATTAATCCTGGAGCTAGAGAGAGGGCCAGAGGACAGAGTGATATTTTATTCTTGAACTACACAACTTCCTTGTCAGTAGAACTACTCCTTAGCCCTAGCTAATGTACATCTTAATATGAATAAGAGAGATATGAAGTTCTAAATCAAACACTGAAATGTCAAGTGAGACCTCATGCACACCTGTAATGGTGTAAGCCATCAGCATAGTGCCCGGTTTCAGCCCAAAAGTCACACTAAAGATTTCAAAACCAGACAATTCTGGAAGTGTCATTAAGTACAAAACCTGGAATTTAGTATTTGTCACGGGGTTGCATCTTCAACCTCCCCACCCACACCTCTGTAATCTCTCTCATGGTTCAAAGAGAACTTTCTGAGTGCTGCCAAGGAGCACAGCCTTTCTTTCCCTTACTCCTGCAGAAAGAGACAGGAAAGCTCTGACTGCCAGGACAGCCCATTTTCCAAATGGTACTTAAAGGTTTAGAAATTGGCTCGCTCTCACTGCTCTGTTGACAGCCCCAAGGCAGTACAGGAAGGATTTTTCCATCAGGACAATCAATACCATTGCTCACAGAATTAGAGCTTCTTGCTGATTTTTTCTAAGCTGTGTTTATCCTCTGATGACTGCAAAGTGATGTGATGGCTGGACATGTCATGCTAACATCCAATTTATCCAACCTGGAATTACCAGTATATAAAACACCAGGAACTTGACAAAAACTCCCAGAAGTTATGAAGTGAGCAATTAAAAATTTCTGTAGGCTGAGTCTCTTCCTACTCCTTTGGGTCAACAGTTTACCAAATAAAATCCACATATGAAACATAATTTTTAAAAAATGCTTCTTTCATTATTTGCATAAATATTTCATCCAGCTTTAACATGAAAAACCTGTTTAGGTGGAAATCTAGACACATATTTTAATAGGATATTTTCATAAAAGGAGGAGCTTACCTTTGGAAAGGAACTATTTTGAAATGGAATTTCCACAGTTAATTCCCAATATTTACTAGCTACTTTTCAAAATAGTGTTATTTGCAACTCCACTGAATTGCTTCCTGCTGTGCTTGACTGTGTTGAGGGTCTCTAGACAGCCAGTGTAAAAAGAAAATGTTCTGGTTTTCATTTGTAATAACTGATGTTTTAATGAAATCCCCACAACTCTTGTATACTGAGGCATCACAATAAAACGCAGTAGAGGAGGCTCATTATTTAAGAGGAAGCCAGAAGCATTATTTATAATATCGTGCTGTGTGGATGAAATGTTGTGTAACCCTCTAGAACTGAATTACATGAACAGAAGTTGCTGAATATGTGTATGCAGCTACTGAATACTCTCACTAGTCAGATATAAAAAATACTTTAGCATGTGAAAGCGTGCAGGAAGATTCAGGATTAGCCTGGATCTGGGAGAATAAGAAGCAAACCATGCGCACTCACTCACCTCAACGGCAGCATTTAGCTCTCTGACACTTACTGAATTTACGTGAAAACCTCATGGGAAGCAGAAAGAAGGTTTTGGGCAAGGGAACGTTGCCCAAAATCTCTATGAGATTTAATCCTCTCCTACTTTGTAATCAGGAGGACTAGAAAGGCAGGATGCTGAGGAGCACAATAGTTGGACAAGGCTGCCCTCTACTGATATTAAATTCCACTTTAGCCAGTCACTTACCCCTGCGGGAGCGTTCACCACCGACAGATTGTAACCATAAAGAAACGACGACCCAAAAGCACCAGTTAAGGAGGCTAAAATAAGACTCCCAGACCAGTTCTGAAAAACAAAGAAAAGATGCAGCCATTGTTAACACACTCAAAATTAATGTACCTGGGGTTTTAAACACCCCTTAGCTATCTTGCATAGCACCTGCAGGCAGATGCCCTTGATGCAGAATAATAGCCTGAAACACTTCTCCTTGCTCAATCTGAGCCACATTACATTCGAAGTGACAGCATGTCGCTTAACATCTATGGAAGCATAAGTGAACATTTGAACTTCTTTCAACCTCACAGAGTTCTGCTGCAAGCATTCTACCAGCTCCCACACCAAAAAGTAAAATGCTGGGGAAGCATAATCTCAGCAAAGGAAATTGTTGACAGTATATCACTAGCACAATGAAATAAGGCATACCTTACTTTCTATTATAGTATATATATACATAGTATATCTATAATCTATAATATATAACATATAATATATAATATACTTACTGTTATTTCTATTTGTATCACCTTACTACATAAGGTATTACAAGAAGTCTGGGGGTAGATCTGACTTGGATGAAGACTCATGCAATGGCATGCACCCTGCCCTTTACCCCTCAACAATAAGGATTAATGAAATTGTGACCAAAAAGAATAAAATTATGTCTAAAAACTAGGTTTTGTAATCTAAATGAAAGTTTCCAACAATAACATTTTGCCACACACACTCTCCAGTGCCCATTTTCCCAATGGCACACCTGTACTTCTCTCTCCTCAGGTCTTTTCACCTCATCCTCCTCATCCTCCTCATACTCTTTTTAGCCCAACTCTGCAATTTCTGCTTCCACCTCAGCTGTTGAATAAAATGCAGAACTGCTTTGATTTGAGAGATTTTGCATTTGCATTCCTTTCCAGCTTCCCCAGTATTACTTCTCCTCCTGGATTACAGAATGTGGCGGAAGAGACCATTCCCAGCCATTCCCAAGAGACATTAGTGTTTTGGTGGCTGGTCAATTGCAAATATTGTTATGTAGATAATGAAAAACAACTCTGAATGTGTTAAAATTGATGTATTTTTAATGTACTTTCAATTTTAAAAACAGCTATGATAAGAACATAGAATTTCAGGCACAGTTCACTGCTATTTATTCCCAGCATCCTCAGTCACTGAAGCCTCAATCCTTTCAAAAGGAGGAAGACCTGCTTAATCAGGACTAAGAAACTCAGCTTCAGTTATATCACTCACCACACCACAACAGGTTAATGAGTGGATACGTTCTGTCAACTGCACAAAGCTGCATGGAAAATGTGGTTTGTGCATATGGCATAGCTGCAGTGACAGTGGAGTGGAACGAGCTCCAGCAGCCTTGCGGGCACAGCAGGGCAGGTGAACACACCGGGGCTCTTGGCATGTGCCAGAGCTCCTGTGCCACACTGCTGGCACAGACTGTGCCCTGTGGGGAAGGGATGAGACAGCCAGGCTCTGGGGACAGAGCACAGTGTACCCCCAGCACGTGGGGTCTGCAGCGCTCGTAGCTGCCAACTCTGAGCATTCAAAATGCACCCTGTAGGATGGCTGAGTGTTTTTAACTTCTTCCACATGATGTGGGAACCTTTTAAGAGATTACACAGTTCATTAACCAGCCTGGTTTTGGTCAGGTCAGGAGGAAGTGTGCAGGGGGTGAAAAGCCTTGTAAGAAATATATCCCGTTGAGATCATTACATAAGCCAAACACAGTTTATTATTATTAGCCAGCTTCTTAAAATGAGCCTGCCACACACACACAGAGTTTGCACATTACTTTGTTAACAAAATGTAGGAACTTGACATAGCTTTATTTAACTTCTGATGATAACACCTCATATTGGGTGCTTATTTCTCTGCTATGCACAAGCATTTCTGCACTTAGAAGAAATTGCTACTACTCTGAATGAATGATGCTGGGGGAAATATTCCTGGTGGTCTACCAGACTGCTCCCAAAGGGTTCACTAACAATAAGCGTGAGTTCCCAAGTGTCATGCAGTAATCTTGGTGCAATGTTCCTAAAAGGCTCTACTCCAACAACATTAGACACATCAGAAAAAATCCTGCAATGAAAAATATTTGGAACTTATAGCCTAATGGTTATTAAAAACACCAATGAAGGCACAAAACTTTCAGTAAAGGCAAATTATATGCACATGAGGCTAAGTGGAAGATAATGCAGGGCAAATCACAGAAGTGCTTAGAAAACCTCACACTGTAATAACTGGGTTTAGAAACTTACTCAATACCATGAAGTTTTTAAGCATACAGGCTGCTGCAGAAAACCTCAGGCTCACTCAGTTCAGAGGTTTTGGAACTTGGAATATGAAATTCAACTTCTCCATGACCTGTCTCCTCATTCAGTATTTTAAATATTTGCTCAGGCTTCAGTAACACCAGATAAAGACAAAAGCACAATGAAGCAAGAATGTAAAAGAAAATCAAACTGTTGCTCAAAAAACTATTTACCCTGTGGCAACATTAGAAAAAGGAAAGGAAAGATAAGCACAAGCCACAGTGTCTTTTAAAATGGCCAGAAATCAAGAAGGCAACCATGCCTCCTTCATAGGTGCTCCTTGGCCTCACGGCCATGCAGGTGCCCATGCATCACTACTGTCAGCCCAAGGGCAGGACCGTGTGACCATCACCACAGCAACAAGTGCTCAGTCAGAAAAGCTGCATGGCAGCTCACACCAAAGACCTGCAGGTACCCGAGGACTGCTTCTTTGTGAAAGCCCACGTTTTTGGCCTAATCACAGATCCCAGGCACTATGGTCTGCAGATGCTTTTCTCAACTCCAGTCCTTGTTCAGTATGCCATGAAATATTTGTGCTGGCTACCATAAGTCTCAAATTGTCTTTTCATTTACTGCATGACAGTTTGCATTTCAGTTTGCACTTCAGTTTTCAAAACACAGGTTAGACTATCGTACTTTGGTTAGTTATAGCCCCCTCCTCAGACTAAACTTAAACACAATTGCTAGCAGTAAACATCGCATACATGCATAAGGAAGCTTAATATTTTTAAATAGATATTGCTACAATTAGCAATACGCAGGAAAGCTGGTCTCTGGAGCACCACCCTGGGGATACCCTTACTGAGAGCCAGGTCCCGCGGGGCCAGCTGCTCCCGGCAGGTGCTCGCCGACCCGGCGCCCTGCGGCAGCTCTGCCCTCGGGGCTGCGGGAGATAAAGGAAACCTCCGTCCCTCTCTCCCTGGCTCTGCCCGTGCCCTGAGAGGGTGGTCCTGGGGAGCAGCGAGGAAGCAGCAGTGCCCTCGCCTCGCTCTACGCTCTCCTGCCTGCGCTTCACCCGCGGCAGCGGCTGCGCTCCCCGGCCGGGCACACACCGGCCCCCGCTGACCCCCGCCCA